GGAACCAAAATGGCTGTTCATTCTTGTGTGCAGGACAACATTCAGCTATTGTGCGTCCATGTGGACTGACGCATAATCCACCATTTTGGTTCCAACAATAATTGAGACACCCATGTCGCAACACTGAATAAACAGCTCTGGCCTGGGAGGAGGCAGGAGTGGGCTCTTAATCCGGGGTTCAGAGAGCGTGAATTGGTGGGGGGGTGACGACTGGTCTCCCCAGAGATTGCAGTGCTATGGGGTTCGGTGTTTTGTCACGTCATCCGAAGTGCTGCGTTGAATTACAAATATCAAGATCCAAGCGGAATTTCAGCATTTAACGTTCCTTCGAACAAACCCCTCTCTGAAGCACCTGCCGATCGGTTATCTCTTGGAGAAAAGTTGGGTGGGGGAAACTGGGATCGCATTTTTGAATGAAAAAAGAATTGGAGATCACCTTGTCGAATAGTCCTCCACTTAAAGATAAATAAGGGCTACCATTTTTCGGGGGGGGGGTGTTATAGGCCGAGCAAATAGGGATAATTTACGCACATCTTGGGGCCACCGTTCCCTCCCAGTCCTTGTTTGAAATCGCAGGGTCAGATTCCTGCTTTGACGGTGCTGTCATGAATCTTCGCCTCCAAAGTAGTCTAGTCTCTATCACAATGAACTCAATCCTGCCCACGTTTTTGCTTAAGGTCTTCATCCCTCCCACGTGTCTAGTTTTTGTTCAAAATTTGTCCATCGAGGCATGGCCAACACAGCCCAGCACTCAAGTTCATATTTCACATCACCGTGGCATCATTGCAAAACTTGTCTGTGCTGCTCACAAAACTAAGGCCCATCAGAAATATGACCTGGGTCACAAAACTGCAGTTGGTTATATCCATTTTCGGCTTTTGTTTGTTTTGTTCTCTTCTGTTTTGTTTCCTTTTCTTTAGGGACATTTTTACTTTTGGTTTTTACATAAACCACATCAACAAAGGTGATGAAAGATGCACATTGCTTATAATGTTGGCCAAGATCTACAAGCGAAATGGTGATTTAACGAGCAACTTTTTCCAAGGCGCACGCACATTTCTGTGTTTTTTTTACTTGTCTTCGTTACCTATGCTGTTCATATCTCCGACAACGGCAGATGTGTTCAACCCTCTTATCAGTGCTATCTCCAATTCCTCTCGTTCCCCATTCCTGTGTTCCCTGTGTGGTTCAACACCATAACCAAACAGTTTATATATGATGCCTGGGTTGAATCCGCGATTCGGCCTTCATGTGTCGCGCAGAGAACGTGACCGTGCCCAGCGTTCAACAGTTTTCCAACGAGGCAGGCCTTGGTGACTGGCTCATCAAAAAGGAAAGGTCATTCGAGAACAACGCGTACGAGTCAGAGGCTGATAGGCAGGCCTTGCGCGCGCACACCTATAGCTTTGTTCTCAAATGGCCTCGGTTCGATTTGAGCATCTGACGTTGGAATTGCCGAACTGACTTCTTGTACGCGCCGTCCTTATCAGAGGTTCGAAAAAAAAACACGGGGAGGCCGTTTGGATAACATATCTCGTGAATTAAGACTGATCTGCGGCCACGCACCACATCCAGAAGAATCCAGGCAGCCTGGTTCACTGGATGGACAGCACCTCGCAGGACGCCGAGCGTGGGCCTCTTGCAAGGTCCGGCGCAACATTCCTTATGACTCCGTCCATTCACGGAGAATTTATCCGTTTCTAAATGTCATCCCAATTGGCCCCTCCTTTTCCTTTCCTGTGTCTGTAATTAATGCAACTTTCAGATAATTAGAATTAATATATTCCATACATTTTCTCTATCGTCTTGTTGATGTTGAAACTCATCATAAAGTTCTTCAAGTGACAATTAAAGATACGTAATGAGCATAAGATCCGTGCTTGAAAATGTGACCTCTACTGTGAAAGCCTGCACTGTGCGAATAAATTTTAAGAAGATATCTTAAATTTCACTTTTGATTTTTAAAGGGCCCATGCATGCAACGAAATTCTCCCATACAGTCCTTGTAAATATATCCGTGTGTCCTATTTCACCTTATTTTTAATGTCCACTTTCGTCAATTTAAGGGTATTTATCTGCACTTTGACCTTAACAATGTTTGGAGCTTAGGGTTTTTTCCAAAATGTGAAGTTTTATATTCATTTCTGGAAGGTGTCTCAATATTACATGCTGCTTCAGAACCAAACTTTTCCAAAACTCAGTCGTTGTTGCTGTCTCAGGTTTTCTCGTCTTTGGTGATTTATCTCTGCTTCAGCAAACGATAGTGTGAGCCAGTTTCCCTCGCATATTTTCCATGAGCAAATTGTGGGTTCCAAATAATGTTTTCTGGAAGTACCACAGATAACAGATAATTATTTTTATGGCTATATTTGTAGATTTTTTCAAAAGTGCACAGTTATCAAAGAAGGGTGTCAAACAGTTTTCATACATAATAAAGAGGAGCAGAAGGTTGAATTTAAAAATACATTTCCGATTCCTTTTCTTTTGACCATGCCCTTGGTTCTGTCTCACCACACATGAACTATCCACACATGATATCGTTTGGTACCTTTATGAGCACAACAGGAAACGAGACTCAGTGGCCTGGAAAGCGTTCATACAAATGGAACTAAAATATACGTTACCCAAAGCCGTGAGCCTTGAACTTTGCAGTGAGCACGGATGTCACGTGATCGTCGATCATATATTATGTCCGACGCAATACAAGATGTAGGTATTCCTTTTTTTTAGTTGTGACCCACTATCCCAAACCAGGCTGAAGTATGTTACTTCATTTCCCAGAAAACCTGGACATCCCACTGTTCATGTCTTCATGGAAGATTCATAGCTATCGCTATCCGTATAATTCTTATTGGTGACAGAATTTAGACTTGACATGGACCACTTTGAAACAAGTGTGAAAAACAGGTGAAGGAGAGGAATTGTCAAGTATCCCAGTTTTCTACTTCAGCCTGGTTTGGGGATGGTGGATCACATTTGCCAAGTGCTCCCACACGATGCGTAGTTTTACATGTATATAAACATTATGTGCGCTTTGAGACCATTTCGAATTGCAGTGTCGTTATATATTGACAATCACTGCGTGTCTACAAAACTTAACGTGTGTTTGGAAAATAATCTTGAAAGAGTCTAGCTTTTTGGTTTTGTTCTTTTTGCAGCACTCAACTCTTAGTCGCCTATCATTACATAATGTTGAAAGATGTAAACTTACAGATATCCAAACTGTGTACATCTGCGAAGTTTTAGGCCCATTGTACAAAGCGTTTTGTAATAGCAGTCATTGATTTTTTCCTTACCCTTCGGAATTCAGTACATTTTGCCTTTGCAGCCCCTGCGTCGAAAACGTAATTCATTTGCCGAGTAAACGCTTTACGGTCAGTTTTATTATTTACTGTCTACTCCTTTTTTTTCGTTCGTTTGTTTTAGTTTTTTGTTTTGTCCATTTTAATTTTTTAAAAACTGTTAGATTTACTGTAATAGCTCTTTCGACACAAAGGTGTCAGTAAAACAGTTGAGAATATTGATAAAAAAGCCATCTGCTCATCCCCCACCCTAGAAAAGAAAGAAACATTAGAAATGAACAAGAAACCATTTTTTTACACTGGCATTTTAGAGTCAAATGTATTAAAGCCTCACTCGAGAAACTCGTAAGGGCTTGGCACGTGCCCAAAAAAAGCATGGTGTTGTCGCAGATGTCGGGTTATGAAACAAAATCCACCTCGGGAATTGTATAAGCAAGCTAGGCTGTTTTAAAACTTCCGTGGCATGAAGAATTTTGGAATTTGGTCTAAAGCGTCGGTAACCATCGTATGTTGTAGCCCGCAACTGAAATTCAAAATTTTATGCTGAATGCCACTCCGTGATGATTTGAGTGATCAGTGTACTTATGCTTAGTTTCAGGTTATGCAAACGACTCAAATGGGAATTACACAAGTTTCTATCATTATCTTTGAATGATACGATCTCGCTGGTAGTGTATGGCATTCACACTAAGGCCGGCTGGCTCTTTCGCATTTGTCTTGACTGAGCGGTGCTGATGAATCAAAGGCCCTTCACTGACCACTGCCTAGCCGTGTCGCTCGTTCATTATCTCCGAGGCATGCCCAGGCCAGCGTCTGCCCTGCCCGCTCCCGGCTTCGCGGTGAGAGATCCCAGTGATTCGTCTGAGAGGGCTTTAGCACAGGAGTAACGAATATGCCCCCAGCATAGAGCAGATCAGTTGGGGGACAGAGAGAGAGAAGCGATACCGATACGCTCGGCGCTGCAGCGATAATGTAGCTCAGTTCATGCCAATCTTACGGTTCGATGCTGCACAGATTGCGCAACTAAGCAAGGTACGGACATGACTACGGGAAATGTCACTTTTTTTTTACTTTGATAAGATCATCGCAGTCGTTTTTTCCCCTGAAATAATTATGGGCGCCATTACTCAGTTTGCTGGAATTCCCATGCAGGTGTCATTTTGTGATTCCTCTTTCTTGCGTAGTCTTCTCTCAGACGAATATCTTCTCACACTGAGAATTCCTTAAAAACTGTCCGCTTTTTCTTCGTTTCATGCTTCTCTGTCCCCCCTCCCCTTTTGTGTCTACATTCTAAGTTTGTTAAACCCACTGCAAGACAGCTACCCTTTTTATCTGTCTGTCCGCTTGCTTACCTGCCTCCTGGCAGGGTTGCTAAAGACAGTCAGCTGAGTTTGGCACACTACTGCTACCTTCCTTCCCTGCATGCCAACCTGCCTTCCCGTGGTTACCCTCATCGACCGCCGACCATCCTTTCTCCGCCCATATAATATGAAATCTAGCACTTTCACGTTCTCCTTTTTTGTGCAAATGCCGTCTGTGACCGGCTGAAAGTTGAAGTCGGTTTGTTGTCCCTAAATTCCATCGCCAAATACCATCTTTTCAACATCTGTTGTAAGTTGTGATCTTCCCTTTGTCCTTCGTTAAACAAGTAAAATTTTCATGCATCTGCTTTCTTTTTGTCGTAATCGTCTTCCACAGCACCCGCATTTCGTTCCATGCTGGTTGAGGCGCCGGAGACCATGAGAGAGTCGTCTCACCAAGTGGCGAGGGATCCGCCGTCCGTATCGTCCACGCACCAGGTGCCGGAGGGGGCACAGGAACGGGGCGGCACGCGAGGCTCCAGGGCCTGCTGCTTCTGCTGGTGCTGTTGCTGCAGTTGCTCGTGGTAATCAATAAGCAATTTGCCTCATTCATGAGTCAGCCATCTTGAATCGAAAGCGAGGCGATCCCTGTCTGAATGCTCCAAAAGTAAAAACGTATGGTGTATGAGAACGAACATGATGCAAATCGGGCAAGTTACAGATTAGATGGATGATTCCACATCACGGTGAAACGTCAAATTACCTTTATCATTGCCAACATGAAAACAAAAACGCAAAATCAAAGCGAAGCTATACCTGTAATTTTAGCAAAATTGGCAAGTTCTTTCCAAGTTTCAGAATGTTAAGTAAGTGAAGTGGATTCGGGGAGCACGATTCAACATGGTCATCTTATGAATAAAGCCCATTCTGTGCAGTAAAACAAGCCCTCGCCCCTTAATTCATGGGTTCGAGGGTATGAGTGATTTTTTTCTTTTTGAATGGATCGGAGACTGCTAGAGTTGATATGGGGGCAATGGGTAGCCTGGGAGAGTACACTCCCCCCCCCCGAAAACCGACAAAACATTTCAAATAAGAAATTCCCGTCGGGAATCGATCGATTCTCATCTTTATCCCTCTCTGCAGAATTTTACCTGTGTGGCCCAATGATGGGCAACATGTGACCTACGGGAGTTGTAAAATGCCAATGTTTAAATGGCAGGCCACAACCGTACCGCGATGATTCCACTCAACCGGCCTCAGATAAACGGAGCTCTGCTGTCTATGACAGAATTTGTTGGCATTTGGTACGCATATAAAGCTCTCCGATCTGGATACAGTTGCTACGTTTTAGCTCAGTCGACAGAGCTGTATATAGATACTGTCGCTTGAAACCCACACAAGGTTCTTGAAGGAGCACCTTTCACTGTGAGAGGTCAGCAACGAAAATTTGACAGTTTTCTGTGGAGTGCCTCCTAAAATTTGACATTTCAATAGAACTGCGAGCTCGATATTCACAGATCAGGTGCCACTGCATCCGCATCCGGTAAAATGAGTGAGAGAGTTAAAACAAGTCTAAACTTCAGGTATAATGTTGGCACATCAACTTACCGTTTGATGTTGAAATGTACTGAAAAGGCAGTTTGTGGTCAGACCCTGCCCCCTTTGTAGCCAAAGAATAGCTGGACTATCCGCCTCTGCCCTCTCGCGCTTGATACGTCATTGCATTCGAGCCGTGCCCCCCTTCCCGCAACTTCTCCGTGTGACCTCCGGCGCGATTTGCCCAGAGCTCGAACTTTTTTTCAGTTGAGATGAATGAACTGTGTTATACTCCCACAAAACACTCAGAAATTGAGCGTCGTGGGAACAGCTTAAAGTAAAGGAAAAATCACTTCTCTTACAGGTATTCTGACATTCGCTAAATCCTTTGGCCAATGCTCTAGTTGCAAGAAAACGAACTAACACTGGAAGAGGGTGCTTAGCGTTTAGATAAATGTATAATAATTACTTTTTACCCCCTTTTTAAAACACGTTTCACACATGTTTAGACATAATTATATTTATACTGAAATACGTTTTCACAAAGCTAAACGTGTATCATGGAAAAGGGTTTATTATTTAAACACATTCCAAAACACATTTCATCGTAAATATCTAAACATGTTGAGTGTTAACCTCAGGTTAAAGTGGGTATAGAATATGTGTATAAACCCTGGGTGCCCTTTTTACGGTGAAGGGCTTGGTATTGAAACCTTGGAATATATAACGTACGTGCTTTCAATCGCTCTGCGTCACAACTCAGTATATAGAGGTAGGGTCGCCGGCTACCAGCACCAACAAAGGTCATAACAATGAACGTCGTTGCACAAACTACCAGCACTTTTCTCTCAACACACCTCCTCGGCCTCCAGTGGCAAATTTTCGTGCACTTCTCCGGTGGTTCACAGGAAATGGTGGGCAGTATATAAGAAGGCCTATCAAAGGCCGTTGCATTTTGCCAAAAATGAGCGAATCAACTGTATGTTTGACATTGTTCGTTATGATATCCAAGAAGGAAGCCTAACTCATTTGAGCGAGGTGCACTTGAATTTGTGATAATTTCCCCATCAGCGATTAAAATCATCACTAATGTTAATGATTCTCAGCCATTTGGGTTAGTCAACTCAGATTACGACCGACGTGACCATTGGTCCTAGCTTTATGATGTGACCACTGACACTCATTCTCCCTGAAGAAGATACCTCGTCATCGGCAGGCGCGTTTTTGTCGTTTCTCTGCCAACTACCTTTATACTCGACGTTATTGACCGAGAGTCGGATTTCAACTCGTCCTGGTTCTATAAAGCTGGATACTCGGGTATAAATCTTTTGTTCGCGTACCCATCAACCCTCTGCACCTTTACCCTGTTTAGTTATTGTCGCTCTTTCAGTGTTTTTGTATTGACCGTTTAACCTGAATCTAAACGGGCTCGATGCCCCATTTGTTTACCTTTTGGTGCATCTTATATCTTTTGTGTCTTGTTTATGCCAAACGGGATTCATGACATTATGCTGTCTTGACATTATGATCGTTGGACAGGAGATAAAAAAAATAGTTCCCTCTGATAAAGGGCAAAATGTACTATTGCGGCGATTTTATTGGTGATACTATATGGGAGCAAATAGCGACTTTGCTACGAAGCTCAAAGTACGAGAAAGGAACACGGCATTGTTACGCTATCGTAAAACTCCGACTCCGGGACAATGTACTCGTGCACCAGACTCAAAGGCAGGGGTTTTAAACCACAACAAACAGACATTACTCAAATCAGACGCTGCCACAAGAAGTCTTGAATCGACGTCACGTAGCGTGGGTGTAGTCATCGGATGACCGAGCTTTTTGTCCTAAGTCTCCCTGAACTACGACCGATCTGACATTACAAGAAGACTGCGTGAATTTCATTGGACAGGCAAGAACAACATTTTCTTAATGGACATTGGTTAGCTCTATACACTTTCCCCTTCTCACGAGCTGCTCCGAACTCCTGTTCCCAAGTGATGCGTACGCCGATTTCTTTACAGTTTTTTGACTGTGGCGACGTGCCAGAACTTGCTCTGAAGTAGAAATTGAAATTATGTGAGCCATCCTGGAGTTAATCCTGATCACGCAGATGTCTGGAGTGATCCACCATCATATACGTGTAAGAGGAGGCTGCACGAAAGAGGCAGTTATTAATGAGATCTTTCTCTTTCTCCATGTACAGTTTAAGCATGAAGAACACAGCCAAAGAGGAATCGGGCGGTGGGTCGATGGAATTGGCCAATGGAGATGCCAATGATAAGTAAGTATCCATTGTCCTTCGTTCTTGTTGACGCCTAACATGAAAAATGAGTCGAGTTCTGTCAAACTGTCAAACCACTAACGTCCAAACTGAGGTCCATTTCACACTTCGGGCATGGTTTTCTGAGGGCCACCGTGTGGGTCTCGCCGTGGGGTAAAAAGAAAAAGCTCTGTTAGAATTCTGTCTTCTCCGAATTCTGGTAGAGGGCACAGGCGGCGTAGACGTCATACGGTAGCACCCTCCCCCGTCCAGTTTCGCCTTAGCGCCGAAGCAGTCAACACTGCATGGGCGCATGAAGAAAGAGAGTTTAATTGGGGGCCTGACGTTTTGATCCTAGCAGAAGCTTTCCAAGGGCAGAAACGCATTTGTCCAGAAACATTCGTTTACCCAGACGCAAGCATCATGCCGGTTTCGCTTCAACGCCTGGCACTTGCATCTGTTTTTTGCCAAACAACTATTTTTAGTAGTTTCATCTGTGCTCATCCCCTTTGTAATATTGGCTACAGGTCATTGAGCTGTAAGTTTGGACTTGATCATAATAATCGTGATAGAATCCACAACCTGTCAGAGACCTGCGAGGATTATTGAAGCGATGACTATTATTATACCCTCATCAACGTAAAGACGAACCATGCTGTGTTTGATTCATGATTTTTTCCTATAGTAACGAAGATCTTTTGTGGGAAACCATTTGTATTTACACTTTTGACATATGACTGGGGGAGGCCTGAGGCCCCATAAATGTTACGTGCTAACTGGTATTTTTTTCCGTCATACTCAGCCCCACCATGGAGGAAATAAGAGTTTGGTCACATTCGTTCGATGCAATGATGAAAAGTGCAAGTAAGTGACAGTTATGTAGTCTACAATGATGTTGACAGGTTGGAGTTAAGATTAGAGTTATCTTAATTGGCTAACTACAAGGCCCAGTCAGCTTGTTTGTTGGTAGATTATTTAGCAGGTTGTTTGTCAGATTGCATAGTTGGCAACATGGCTGATAATGTTTTCTTTTGGAAGGCACCCTCGCCTGGTCGGCTACTATGTTGGCCTATCTGGTGAGCTAGATTTTGGCCGTCTGAGTGGTAAACTTTGTTTTCAGCTACTGTTGAATGTGGGCCGGGTTGTTTATTTGGCAACTGGCCACAACCACAGATTTTGTCGACTTGGCGATTTCGTCGACTTGTTTCAGACTGGCCACTGGTAGAATATTGGCTAGCACTGACTTGATCAACAATTAGACAGGTCCGTGACAAGCCTGGTTGACTGAGTGGGATTGGCTCGGCCAGTCGACTGGCACTGCACTGGTCACCGGTGCGATCAGTTGGCTAGCAAGTGGCTTGACTAAATCGACTGGTCATTGGCTTGTTACATTAAGTGATACTGGTTATATTAGCTGATGAGTAGACCTGTCAGTCACCTGGTTAATTGGCAATTTAGAGTTCAAACAGATAACCACGATGATTACTAGGCTGGCTACAGTGACTGGATCACCAGGTTGTTTTTAGCTTCCCTTAGCTACCTAGTTGATAGACAGGTTACTGGCGACTGGTTTGGGGTGCTGGTTGTTGCTTGTTAGTGGCCTGGTTGGCTGGAGACATTGGCTCGATTGGCTGTCTATTAACGTAGCTTGTCGCCTCACCGCTGACGTGGTCAGTCCAAGAGGCCAGAAGAAATGTGCCGGGCGATTTTATGCTGAGCTCTGCACTTGTTGAAGAGAGATCCGTTTCCAGTGAATTAATTTTAATGAAGGGCAATCTTCTGCATAGATCCTCCCACAGCTTTGACTCTTACATTTGCTTATTTGGATTTTTTACAATGATAGTACATGCAGTGCTGATTTTCTTTTGAGATCAATTACATTCTTGTTTCATCTAGGGGGTCGCAGGAGATTTCGAGATTTTTTACGATCGGAATACAGCGAAGAGAATCTGCTATTTTGGCTCGCCTGCGAGGAGCTGGGGAAAGAATCAAACTCGGCTGCTGTGGAGGAAAAGGCGAGGCTAATTTACGAGGACTATATATCCATCCTCTCCCCAAAGGAGGTTGGTTTATTCCTGAATAGAATAGCTGTCACGTTTCCAGCCAGTACCAATCTTCACTGTCTGATTGATAGTTTATTTTGTAGGTGTAATGTGGGTGTAGTATTGCTGCTATGTAGCGAGCCTGACAAAATTTCCTGGGTGTCGAAAATTACAGGATTTAACTATTGTCCTGACAAGTGGGAATGCCCTCTCTTTCTTGAACAGCTTAATGTATGTTGAGTTGATAAGGAGTTGGAAATCCTGACACTACACAGACACTCTGTTAATTTTGTCAGTTGGTTAAAAACTGTTCTTATTTTCTGTGCTTCACTTAATCTGCTACCTTTGCTTGCACTGCTGCAATTATTGCTGCAGCCCGCTAGACACCTTACTGGTTCTGTCAGCAGCTGCTAGTTGTTGCTGCTCATGTTTTTCTGCTTTGCTAACTTGCAGCTGCTAGCTGCTGCTGTTGTCATTTCTACATAATGTCTGTGCTACTGCTGCAGGTTTGCTACCCAGAACTGCTACCAGCAGCTGCTATTTGCTACTGAACAGTGTTGAAGTCGAGACCTCGTAAGACCTTTATGAGACACTGAAAGACCCTCACAAGACCTACAGAAGACACCCCATTGTGAATTAAAGTCACAAGCTATTCATATGAACTACCGGTACAACTTAAGTATTTTCCTTTGCCACTGTTCACCCTGTTGCTTGTGACTGGTCTTGTGAATGGCCTCGTGCATGATCTTGTATCTGGTCATATGAATGGTCCTGAGATGGTCTCGACTACAACACCGCTATGGCATCTACAGGTACCTTCCTAACCAACTGTAGAGGCTATCTGCTGCTGCTGTCCTCATAGCTGCAGGTGGTATACACTGTCATTGCTACTGCTAGACGCTTGCTACATAGAAATGCTGCAACATTTACCATACTTTTGCTATTGCACCGACTGTGTCTACTACTCTTGTACCTTTAGTGCCTATAGCCAATCAACAGCAGAAGCTATGTAGGTAGATGCTGCCTGTACCACTGTTGGAGGCTTGCTACCTATAACTGCCGTCTCTATTACATACCCAGCAAACCAATGACCACTGCTGGCATCTGCTGTTGTCATTGCTGCAGATGGTAGATGCTTCATTACTATGACCTAAGGCTAGCTACTTAACTCCTGCCCGCACTACTATTGCTCTTGCTAAGCACACTCAATGCTGCTACTCGATGCTGTTTCTGCTTTGCTGCTGCTAAAAGATGCCAGTGCTACTGCTGCAGGAATTCAGCTGCTACATCTGTTAGCTTAAGTCTGTTGCTGCTAGTATCTTATTTTGGGGGGCTTTTGGCTTTCTTCTTGCAACCGTACCCCTGTCCTTCTTGTTCTTGATTTTTCTTGAAGTGTAATGATGTCCATATTCCCCTCAATTTGTTCGGTTCAGGTAAGCCTAGACTCACGGGTCCGGGAAGCCGTCAATAAGAACATGGACCATCCTACTCCACACACGTTTGATGAGGCCCAGCACCAAATCTACATCCTCATGCACCGTGACTCCTTCCCCCGCTTTCTCAATTCCAAAATGTTCAGGCGGATGATCGAGAACGCCAGCAGGGGGGAAAAGAAGTGAGAGGCGCACAGGTGGGTGTGGGTCTGGTCCCCAGACCCCATTTCGTGACTTTATTGGTGTGATTATTCGAAACACTAATGATGACCTAATTGGACGTTGAACGGAGCAGTGTACCGGATACTATACATTGTGTGGACAATATGGACGACAAGACAATTTGGCGATTGTCTGGCATGTCTAGCTGTTGCCTTCAACTGGAACAAATATCAAGCTACAGAACAACGAATTCAACAACAGTAACAACATTAACAACAACATGCTCAATGATGCATCAGTGTAAATTGCAACAGAAGCAGTGCAACAACAAACGAAACAACACATTATCAGCAACTTCACACTTTCATCAGTTGAACAGCAAAGTGGACGGCATTGCACGGATATACACACCTGAGGCTTGTCACACACCGTGATAGAACATGACGTCACTGATCAGACCACGTGACCATCAGACGAACGAGATGACGACAGCAGAGCGGTCCCGCGCCGCGTGACACCGTTGGAAAAATTGGCTGCATGCAATGTGCGGAATCCACCGCTAGAGGGCGTGATCTCCAATTCCAGAAGGTCACAGTGAATCAATTGTGGTCTTCGGCAAGACTGACGCCGTTACAGTACAGGAGCACATACTGGATGGAAGACACCATTACCGAAAGAAATGGTGTGCTTCGGGAGGTACAGAAGTGAAAGACGGCAGTATAGCCAATTATCTTCCTCAGGGATTTACACAAATTTTACACGTCGGCGTGCTCTGTCATTGTCAAAATGGCGGGCGTGTTTGATGAACAGGGAAAAGAAATTTATGGAAGGGGGAAAGGTTAAAACCCGGTGCTTTCGTTTATAAGGCTGCTTTGATATAATCCACGGCCGCTTGGACTGGCGTAGCTGCAAGAACGAGGCGTGTATTACGAGAACGTGTGTGATCCAAGGGTTGTACGGTCGCTTGCCCACTGGCTTGTTTTAAAACCAGCCGTTTCCGTCGAAATCGGTCTTTAGTTAGAATGAGCCAGAGGCGTTCACTTATGAGTCCATCATCAAATGTTTGCGGGGTAAGAGCCCTGTGATCGAAAGACGGGGCTTTGGGTGTTCTGGGCCTATCTCAGTACTGTCTGCAGGTCCCACTCAATCCGCAGAAAGAAGAAAAGTTCTACTCTAACTGATATGTAACTTTTCCAGGGCCCCAAGGGCGAACAGTTCTTTGATAACTGGGTTACCTTGTTGAAATTTTCAAAAACAGGTAAAACAAATCAACATATTTACATCACGGATGCCATGACGTGGTTTCCATCACTGAGTTGTCATAAGAAATCGCCAGGCAGTACACTTATTGTGAACATGTGACATTATCTGTTGAACTTTTACCATTTTTTTTATCTTATCCCGATAAACGTCAAAGGCCAAAGTCACTTCTTGCAGCTGAAAAACAAACTGGTGCGCAGGTCTGAGAGATTAGAGATGGGGGACTAAATTGACTTTGGTGAAGTTCACTGGGGGTAATGTCTCTGCAGCCCAATTTGCGTCTGCATGGGGACCACTTCCGTGTCTGCTGGTTTCTCAAGATTTTCTGAAGGGTTCTGGCTGGCATCTCCGTCAGTCCTACAGCCTGTCAAAGTTCGGTGATGGCTTGGATGATAAAAGACTACTCAATGCACAAGCTGTTATTGCAGGGAGGCCTTGGATTGGAAATGCGTTGACGATGGGGCGGTTGGCTATAGGGTAAGAAAGTTTGCAGGAAGGGGAAACTTCGAAAAACAAAAGGTTGTAACTGAAGTTATAAATTTTGTGGCCTTTTTATCAACGTGTTTACGCGATGAAGTTTGGACTCTGAACCGGTGCAAGCGACTTTTCTACACCCTTGACCAAAGTAGTTTCGTCATTATGACGTCAGAGACTACATTTTTTTCCTCGCCATAGGCTCAGATAGTGAGCTTTTATAACGTAACAAAACTGATGGGTGACTTTCTGATTTATTGTAATACGGTATAAAACGTTATGATGGAACACGCGCATCTGCCAAAGAACTTATATTCATACGAAACTATTGGTGTTTTTTCGTTTGTTTCGTTTTCTATTCACGGATTTTGATGTGTATTGCTTAACGATTTTACAAACGGACGGCCTAATTTGTATTGTTTTTTAACTGTTTCTTGGTAACCGTAGAGTATTTTAACTAAAAAACATTGTCTGAATGTGAAACAAAGTCGTGATGGGTAGCAAGTTCAGTATAGTGAAACGTTTAGAATCGGGGAGTTTGTCAGAGTTCTTTTCCGTTTGTCGTCATGGTGATTTTTGCTTGTACATTTTTACGATGTGACACACCCATTGTACGTGTATGTGCACGTGTATCGTAAACTAGGTGTTTTTGAAAAGCGAGTTGTCAGTTTGGAATTTGTAAGTTTACAATTAGCAGTGCAATTTTTTATCGTTGATATTGATGGAGCTGTACAGTGTGAGGAGTTTTAAGGCAAATGGTTATACCTCAATTCTTGAGTTCTGTCGTCGGTAATTTGTTTGTCGAATCCACTCATGTATGTCTCGCTTACATGTTCACCTTTACTCTTTTCGGTCTTAGAACTGCACATTGCTTTGTCGCAAAGAAAAAATTAGCCGGCATTATGGTTTCAGGTCCATTCCTTTGGAGACAAAAGTTACTACTCTCAGGGTTTCCCGATAACACGCGATTTCTCTTTTTTTTTCTTTTCTTTTTTTTTTCTTCTTCTTTTTTTCTTCTTTTTCTTAACCAGGATGACCGAAGCATTGTGGATCAAGATTCAGTCAAATTTGAAACACATGATGGATTGTTTTTGTTTATAAGGCATGGGGCATCGTCCAAAATTGAACTCCCACCCTGATTGTGAAAAGCCGCAAATATTTCCACTGCTATAGTAAAAATAACCATGAATACTAAGGTCATTTTTGTGCCGCTGAAATATTTTGAAAGCATATGTGATAATCGATTTGGTTATTCAGGCAGAGGGTTGTGTTATTGTGGATTATTGAGAACGTGTTGATGACCCCTAACAACGCACGCAAAACAGTTTTCCCATTTGTAATAGATAACTATTTTTTATTCCAGACAGGAAAAAAAACGCGGGGAAAATCCGCAGCGTCCCACACTATACACGTATGTGCGAGTTTTGGAAAACTGATGCAGCCTAAGGCTCGGAAGTTTGAAACGGTTTAGTCTATTAAGCTATAAGCCGAACAAGTGGCCCACGGCTTGCAAAACGGCTCATCTGTTGGGCCATACATCTTCTTGACAATGGATTTCCCCCAGCTGTCGTACCGGTATTGTTTAGTTTGCTTTCAATTGCTTCATGACTCGATATTCTGGTTGAATCCTGATGAAAAAAACGCTGTGATAATAATTTCAGAATGATTTTTAATGGTGATTTTTTCTTCTTAAATTTCCAAAAGAGTTCCTTACGTTCAGGTTTAAAATAAAAAGGGACCCTAAATCCTGTTACATGTATAATGTATATAACCAAAGTTCAGAGGAGACTGGTGAACTAAGTATTGCCCCTGACCATGCCTACTCGAATTTGCAACTATGTGGTCAGTCGTTACCTGAAATTATTCCCGGTAGTAGGTCAGAGTTTCTTATTTCATCGAGTAACACTTTGAATCAACGACGTTTGTTTTGTTCACAGTTTGTCAATCTGATTGGGCTCCTGGCTTTTTTAATCATTCAGTCATTTTATACCAGTCAATAGTTAAATTTATCTATGAGGAATTTCGATCATCTTCTTAAACACTGAAACCAAAGATTTTTAAAACTTTCCAAAGTAATTGGTGTTCCTTTCTCTGCACTTTTTCCCGGCTTTAGATGAATTAAAAAAAACTTTGCAGTTTGCTCGGCGCCATTTTAATTTTTTATGGAAATATTCCGTGCGGGCAGTGCTCTTAATTCAGCTGTTCTTGATTTTAAGTATAAAGTTCACCCGTGGCGGTTTTTTTCTCAAATGAAATCTATGGCAGTCACGGTGTTGGTGGTTGAAAACCACTGCACATGCTGTGGAACAACTGTAGCCTGTAGTGTGGTAGAACAGCCTTGATCGTTTATTTCAAAACGCTGTCGTGACATCGACGCTTAGGCGCAGCTTCAGTTTTGGCTAATGTATGAAACAATCATGCATGAAGAGAGTTTCAAACCGTCAAGCGAAACATTGAAATGTTGCATGTACCCGTCTCATACCACCTACACTTTGTATCCCAGGTCGCCGATCCCTTTCACAAAATTTCTGATTGGTAATACAAGGCATTGTAACACACAGCGTTATCCCTTCTCATGTACTCGGTCGCGTTCGATAAGCTTGCACAGGGTAACTCTGACGTGGGGATTGCCGTGTGTGTGCCGTGTCAAACAAGCGAGAAGGTGGGAGCGAGGTTAAACACGAGTCAACTCGTAGAAGCTAATGGAACGCACCCCAGTGTAACGTGTGCTGCCCGAAGTCTGTCCTATGAGAACTGGGAAAAATACCGATCACCACCGTTCTCTGATCGGACAGAACGATGAAACGGGTCAAGGTACATGTCTGGTACAACATTCTTGTATCCAGGGGCTGCTGCTGATGAAAACGCGCAGAATTAGGAAGGTTATGCGAACTCAATATGCCTCCTCAACTGTCAGTGCACGATGTACATTGCTTACCCACTTAATCTCGGCAGTATTTTGCCCATGATCAAATAAAATTTGCTTGGTCCTGGCAACACTTTTGTAAGCACCAGATGGCACTACATAGCCCTAGAGAATCATGAGTGTAACGTGGTTGAAAACGTCGTTGAAATGTAACCATCAAAATAATAAAGGCCTACTTGGGTCTATCTTCTCACAAAGAGATCGGGGGAGGTTTTTTTGTTTTTTTGTTTTTTTGTTTTTTTTTTTGGTGCGAACCGTAGCTATTGTTACAGTTGATGCCCTTTGGCGGCATGTGTTCCGTTCACCGATTCTGTGGATAGTGAATTCTCGTCAGTGACCTCTGTCTCTTCTTCTTGTTTTACATCACCAACATAATGAGTATGCTAAACAAAAAAGGGACCAAGTAAGATCTAAAATAATGGAGGTGACTGTAATATTAGCACTGTATTTTATCAAAGCTGTTTTCTTCCGGACTTCAGATCAAAACTATCGTACGTTGAATTATCTTGCTGCAGTTTTAAGCACTACAATTGTGTGTATATAGCGTACGGAAGGAAAAGCGTATCGTGTAGATATGTTTTCAGTTTTGGGGCAACATCGTTTTGCAGTCGTATCGACCAAGAAATGATGGTATTTGGGGGACACTGGGAAGGGTTCTGTTTGACATTCACACAGTACTCTAATCTTAAGTTTAAACTCTGGCGTTAGTTTGTTGTCAGTTGTACGGCCGCATCCACCTAAAACCTACGTCGAGACAAGATAATGTGCACTTTTATCATGAAAAGGTTCAGTCTTGGCCCTTTTTTGATATTGTGCGAAGTCTTGTGTGCACCTTGGCTAGCGGGAAATCGAGTTTCCCTGTCAGTGTATGGATGATGGGACGAGTTTTCCAATGGTCGGATAGTCGCTTTTCAACCATCTTTCTCATTAATGAGATCAATTCTAGTGTTTCGTTGACCGCACAGCCAAACGGGCTTCGAAAAAACCCTCATTATTTCAAAATATTTCTGTATCTATCGTGTAAGAAGTCTAAAATAGGTGCGGTTATCTACGAGTAAATAGAATTTAGTAAAATTTATTTTTTGGGGGGTCATACGTTGCCCCACGAATGTTTTGATTTGAATTTCCCATTGAAAGTGATCACGGCCTTTCACCCTTTAGTCCAGTTGTAGGGCAAGTCTGTCACGCTATGTAGCAAGAGTATGCAGCCTACAAATACAGTTTTGTAGTCGACGAGTATGGTTTAAGGGCACCAGACCATTCCAATACTGAACGTTTCTGAATCAAAGAGAGCTTTACCCGTCGAAATACCTTGATCCGGCTTGAAACAACATTGTAACTTGTCTGGGGAAGTCCAATATGATTTTGACACTATGCTGTTACTCAAATAAGTGCGGTCGAATAAGCACTAGGCATCATTCAAGTTAAACTTACAAATCGTTTATTGTTTTCAAATCTTTTAGAAAATGGGGACCTGAAAAAATGTCCTGAAAAATCTTATTGAATTCATTGGCTTCTTATCGGTCTAAAACCGTGCTTGACTGAAATTAAGCGCAAAAGACTATTTATATGTAAGCAACAGAGATTCTGCAGTTTCTGCAAGCCCGTTTTCATGCAGTTAGATGTTACTTTGTTATGGCATAAAACTATTTGAGCAATCCAGTCAAATCCACTAAGCCATAGCGGTTTTGCATGGCTGCCATCTTTACGACAACTGCTTTTGTTACGGAGGGAAAGTACAAAAGGTCTACTCATGTGTATCCCTGTGGAACAAAAGCACTTACCGGGAAAATGGCTGCCGTGCACAACCTCTATAGGAACTCACCTGATTTATGTTTACCACAACCCTTTTTCCCTTTCGCCATGAGCAGAACAATTTCCTAAGTGCAGACCTGTTTCTATATCTGCATTGGTTTGCAAAAGTGCTGAGAAACAGCGCTCACTTGAAAGGACGTGTCATCCCCCGCGCCCAGTATTGATACTCTTTTCTTTAACACGTAATCATCACGTGCATGATTTTAAACGGAACATTATATTCAGAGAGACAGGTATTAAACCAAATAATGTGGATGCTTGTGCGCATGCGTGTGGCGCAAAGGTTTTTTCTAACAACATGTTTTATAATTACGTACAAAATGCTTGTATAACATGTCGAACCTTTGTAAATAGTACCCTTTTTCCACCAAATCACTGGGGTATACGTAGATATAAATAATTCTTGTTGAGAACAAAACAACTTGTGAAAAAAACTTGTATCAAAATTGGATTCCTAGAGCAAGTACCGGTAGCAATTTTTTGTGCATATTTGCCTCATAAGGGGTCTACTTTTTTCGAGGTGTACATGTTGCGTGTTCGTGTTGACAAATAAATTTAAAGCGCTGATGGATCAGGCTTTGCACAGATTCGCTTTGTCAGTTTTGCTTGTGTTCTGTCGATGTGTCACTTTCCCGTAGGTGCAAATGTGCATATTGCATACGGTGGATTTTACGGAGTCCATACATGTAGGCCTTTCTTAATTTTTATGCAAATTTTATTCACAGCAACTAAAACGAGGCTGTAGGGGACTCGCGTGTTCAGATGGCTGTAAACTTAACGGATCTTTCCGTGGTTCCTGAGATAACCTTCGGGTTTGTGGAGGAGTACATCCAAAATCAGTGGAGAGCAACAGCGTGGACGTTACAGGCATGCACCGTTTATGTCTAGGCCTAAACGGCCGGTTGTCGCCACGATCGAGCAGCTTGAAAACTTTTTTGTCATTCAGCGGGTACCTTCAATAATTGGGCTATTTCCTTTCGAAGTTCAGAATTGTATAGATGCTAATTCCAAAATTACAGACGTTATTTCATTAAGCTGGGCGCGATCAATCGTGGACGAAGGAAAAGACTGGATCAATCGAACCGCACCAAAGTGCAATAACGTGTACGGTGTAGGGCCGGTGATTACGATTTTTCATACGAACATCTTAAGTGCCCAATTAGTCGTTTCAAAGTCAAAATCTACTTTGCATAGTGGCCCCTCGTCTCGTCCACTTTTTCTGCAGGACCTTTGGATGAATGCTAATTCCATGAAAGCTATAATTTCTGGTGATGTTCTTCGTTTGTGATTGATACAACACGGCATTGAACAATGCTTCTCCGTGTTCGCCGACAGCGCAGAGTCCCCTACAGCCCCGTTTTCAGTTCCGGTGCATAAAATCTGCTTAAATATTAAGAAAGACCTATGGAATGTATGGTATAGCCAAATTGGAAGCCATTACCGCAGGGTCATCCTGTTATCGAGCAGGTGGTATGCGTGCGTTACATTCCACTCCGACATGCACTGCGTGCGATGGCCCCCAGGAATGGCGTCCCAAGCCCAGAAAATGGTACGGCGAGTGAACTAGAAAGTAAGGGACCCTTTTCTCCTCTCAAGAGTATGGATGGCATACCCGTGAGGGTAGAGGACTATTGTGGCATCTGCCATGGCTACATCGAGCTGTATACCCCCAGTGTGTTCGAATGGGTTTCGGGAATAATTCTGGGTCCGGTGAGTACAGTAATATGATCGATATAAAGTTATATAAATATCTTCATTATTTCATCTACTCCCACGTACCTCACTTCCAAATATGTCAAACATTCATAAAATGTAATTAAAAAGGGGGTCCTCCCCTGCTGGCGACTATCTTGTCTTTTTTACCAACTTTCTTCGATTTACGGAATAAAACTGTTTAAAGTGAAACCGTTTCTCGATTATTTTACTCCTTCCCCCACACACAACCATACATGTATCGAGATTCGCATGAGGAATATTCACGCTAGCGGCCTAGCCCCCAAGTTTGCATTGGAGCGGGTTTTTCTATTTGGGGTGGTAATTGGAATTATCGTGGTTAGGAATTTAACAGTGATCTTGGCTCGTAATCCCGAAGTCCTCCAAGATATTTGTAATTATAAGTTTCATCTCAAGACACGGGTTCAAAAAGTCGCTTTAATAGAGCAGGGAACAGATGCGCGCCCACTGGCATACATGCAGGCATCATGACTGCTACCTATCCTCGTTCACGGTCAACACTTCTCTGTTGGTTAGCGTTCTAGTGTTGTTCATCAATCAATCGATCAAATCAACATTTATTTCCATGCTGTTGTCATTTACAATAGAATCACACGTGTGTTCTTAATTACATAATAATTCATAGATAAATGAAATATAAACACAATATCTTAATGAAAATCATGCACATAATAGTTGAATGATGGCAACATGAAGGACAGTGGCGAAGGGTTTGCAGTCACTTCGCCCCATTTCCACTTCGCCCCATCTCCACTTCGCCCCATCCCCACTTCTCCCCATTTCCACTTCGCCGTCCGTTCTCGAGTGTGTTACAAGCCTCTTCAAAAATGGTAGAGAGGGGAGTTCCACAAACGACATGTAGTTATTATAGAAAACTCTACGGCATTAAATTAATGTCGACCGCGTTGTCCATTATGGTGATTAATACACATGGATGGACTAGCATAGGGGTTATTTCTTATCCTCCAAATTCAAGTTTATTTCAAAGCGACACACACAAATTCTGTTCACATTCTGGTAATAATTGTCGATGCATCCAGACAGTTGTAGGCCTATCCGGCGATTGGAGCGGTGCGCAGGAAATTTTGTGGAAACATGCTCGCTTTAAGTACAAGCAAAACAATCTAAAATTAAACTGATGAACACAGAAAATAAACACATAGACAAAATACTAAGAATTAAGGTTAAGAAATCTTGCAACAGCGATGTTTTTGTCGATGCGTGACGGATCACGCACATGTGCGGTCACCGCGGCATGAATGGACTGGTTGCCACACTCCATTACGCATTCTCTTACACGGGCGATGCACGGCGGGAACCAGCGCGAGCTTTGCGCACGTGTTTTTACCACAGCGACAACGGAACACAAAGAAAACGTTTTTTCCTAACTTGCCAATAAAAATTTTAGGGTCTCGCCGAAAAATCAGAAGCATTGTTTTGGGCCTTGGAAAGTTGGATTTTCCAATCGTTATTTGGGTACTCAAACGTAGATGTTTTTACTTGTTGCATCTATAGGCTTATGCCTCTGTTACTGAAGAACAAAATGAACGATAATCAAAGGGGCGAAGTGGAAATGGGGCAAAGTGACCGACACCGTGGTGGAGAAATGCTTTTGCATCCTTCCCAGGGACAGGACGAACACAAGACTCAAAACAAGTGACAATACGTACAAAGACAAGACGATAGTGCCGAGCGAGATCCAAACACATTGGGCGTATATGCAAACATTTTAGCTTTGAAGTTTTGAAGTACCGATTTCAAGTGGGCGAGGGACAACAAGCCGTACCCCTTCCATTAGGCCCTTCCCACCCTTCCCGCGACTCTAGAAAGCATGCAATCATTTTTTTGCACGTAAGAACACCCTTGGCGGCGCGGGTACCGGGTACCAGTTGTTTTCAGCCGGAGAAAACCAACATGGCGACCTTCTACACTGAAAACGTGAACAAATGGGAAACAGTGTCGAAAAAGAAGAAAGCATCTGCCTCGGACAAAAAGGCCGCAAGGAAAAATTTCTCCAATGTTGCTCCGACAGTGGATGCGGCACGTGAGTGTTGCGGATGAGACTGGCGAATTTGTATTGATAAAAGGGAAAATAGGCCAGCTGACTACACATCTTTTCTGTCCTAACCATCACTAGTAACCGTACTTGCAGTCAGGTTGCCCATTTTTCGGACAAATTTTACCCCCTCTCTTCACAGCAAGTTCGAACATTTTACTTGGCCTACTGCTTGGCCAAACTAGGTCAGTTTGTTAGTATCACTAACATGCCACTTCACTAGCATATTAGGGACATCAGAAAGTTTTATTTTTCGCAGTGGCTGTTGTTACGGCAGCCGGCGTAATGCATCTTCCATTTTCTTTCGTTACGGCACTGCAGCTGCGCAAGTGCGTCAACGTAAGCACAGATTTTGACTTTATTTCCCTTTAAAAAAGTCCTCCAAAGCCTCCAATGAAAAAAGAAAAAAAATTCCTACATAGGCCTATACAATCAGAAACCAACATAAAAAACAATCCCTACAGTACTATGGTATAAAACATGAAATTTACTCAAAAAAAAAATAGTCCAAGCACGGATTCGAACTCACACACCAGTGGTTCCACACCTTCCACCTTGACCACTCGGCCACAAGCATTCAGCGATCCAGGTAGGAGCCTAATTTTAAAATATATAAACCGTCATGATGATCAGCTACGTCATCGCATTTGCGCAGTTCAGTACCGTAACGATAGAAAATGAGAAATGCGTTACCACTGCCGTAACGATAGCCACTTTGTTTATTTTTAGGAAACCTCAAGGCCTACATTCATGACCTTTTCGTTGTGAACACTTATACTAAGTTTTGAATATTATTTTTTATTTGGCATAACACAAAAACAAATAATATGAAATTGAAAATGCAATACAGAACAATACAATACACAAGACAATCGATTAACCAATAGCACATTTGTGCATTAAAGCCAACATTAGCATGCCTAATGCCTATTGCATGTGTAATGAGGGTGCCCTGACTTATTTCGATTGAGCCGGCAGTGAGTAATAACAAAGATGGCAGTGACCATGCCATTTGCATTTTTTTGCATGCTGGGAAAACCTGCATGCTGGGAATTTTTAAATTGATGGTTTTCTTGTCTGAACTAGCTCCCTTGAAAGAATCCGAGACGATCTTTGACGCCTTCAGCAAAAAGCACAATGCTCAGATGTCCCAAATGCCCCCCTTGGCAGTCCCCGACAGCCCCTCTGGGAAGAAAGCGGCAGGGGGCGACACCCAGAAGAAGGCTGCTGGCAGCCAGCAGAAGAAGAAGAAGGACCCATCCCGGAAGGGTGAGAAGGGGTTTGATAGCCTGGCCGAAGCCCTGAAGGCACTGGACCCCAAAGAGCTGAAGGCTCAACTGACTGAGGTCCAGACAAGGTGTCCGGAGGCGCGGTCGGTAAGGAGCTTCCAATATAGAGGGAATACGCTTCACATCTTTTTTTCAATGGTTTCTTGCCATGTTCTATAGCCCTATGTACTTATGAATTTTCAGCAAAACTGTTTTTCAAATAGCACTCCATTTTAATTTTGTGAATATTAAATCAATTAGTTGTTCCTTAAATAAGATCCCTTTATCTCGAGATGTAGTAAAATTTACCAAGGAAAATATACTGCTCTACAGATAACCTCGGGGGCTCGTTTTGCTGTACCACTCGAAGCATTCAACATTTGTATAACATCGCAAACCCTTTCGCAAGTCCAGATGCAAGTCCAGACACAAGTAGCAGCCTAGCAAGATAGATAAAGACAAAGGAGTACTTTTTGTCACAATGCGGCCGTTTCACAATAGTGCGCCACGAAGAGTTTGCAATGCATTGGCCAATCACAGTGCGCGAAATTTGTCGACCCAACGCACGCTTAGAAAGGGTCGACAAATTTTGTGTGTTCTGATTGGCCAACGTGTTGGAAACTCTTGGTGGCGCACTATTGTGAATTGCCCGTATTCATTTGAATAGCCTGCGACTTGGCTCTAGACTTGATGACTTGCAATAGACTTCTGATGGCCATGACTACAGTCCTACCCCATACATCCGCCGAGTGGCTTCCGTGTGTAATTTTCATAGCCCACTCACCAAGTGGTCACCTGCTGCCACAAAACCATAAAATGTAGACGTGTTTAGAGCAGCCACTTGACATTCCATTCACAAGCCAGTTTTTTTGAGCCTGCATCATTTCAAAAATTGAGTACTGACTTTAACATAAAAATTTCTCGACTGTTGCTTTCAAAATAACTGTATGTTCCCGAAATATATAACCACAGCTTTTTCCTAAACCAATTCAAAATTAAGCCAAAAGAAATTTTGCTTCATAGTAGGTTGTGCAACGGATTTTCACAGAGGATTTCTTGTCTGGGTCTGGACTTATCGTTCTGTGAGGGGGAAAAGCTCTTTTGATGTGCCTTGCACGTCACATTTTCCACTCTCTAAAAGTTTGTTTATTATTTCTGCATTGAAGTTGTTGGCTTTATTCCATCCCTAGTTATGGCTTGGTGACATAGTCGGCTTCATGAACAAAAAGCTACTGACCAAGGAAAGTGACCCAGTGTTCAGTGATCAACCTCCCAGTGAGTGGTTTATCTTCTCCCTCTTTATCTCTTTCTGTTCTCAAGAGAATTAATTTCCATGCTCCCCCCCATTTCCTATTTTCTGAAAAGAAGTTTGTGCACTTTCTCCTCTGTTGAAAGGATGCATTGAGCTGTACGGCACAATCTTCCTTCAGCACAATCACCACGATCCAAACTTGTTTTTCCGTCTCCCTCTCTCATTGACAGCTTACCCTCTGAGCAAAACAAGCAAGCATTTGTTGGACTTCCTGAATGCCACACTGAAAAGCTACAACGAGGACATGCTGAAGGCCTTCTTTGATTATTGTATCAGGGAGCTGGCCGGCGACTCCAGCAAAGGTATACAACTGCAGACCCCTCTCTCTGTTTGGGAAATTGAAGAAAACAAGACTTTTTCACTGCGGTCGCATGGTCTTGACGTAAATATGGAATCTGTATCTGTATACCTCTTCATGATAGTGTAGGAGTTCCAGGCTTGTCAAAACATGAATTGCAGTCTTTTTTAGAGGTGGGGAGGTCGGAAAAATGAAGCATTACATTCAGTGTTTGTTGTACTGCAAACTGATAACAGGATAAATTAAGAAAGAAAGAGAAGAAAAGACTAGATGTCTATGACTGTTCCAGGACAGTTCATAGAGCTTTTCTATAGCCAGCAAGATATGGGACGGAGGGGTACCCCCCTTTACATGTCCAATCCCTATATACACTCCAGACTATTGTTACCTAACACATCCCCCCACTAGTATGTAGAGAATTTCTGAGATTCCGATCAAACAATGATCAACACAAAGGTAGGAGGGTGTTCTCCTTCCCATATCTTGCTTCTTATGTGCTTTTCCGCATTTGCACATTGTAACAACAAAGTTTTAAGGCCCCATTGTCACAGCCAGGAGTTGCAGGTAATCTTGCTACAAGTACATCGATGAAAGGGTTGTGTGGATCAGTCCTGCTTTGAATTGCATGTCCACAAAGGATACCTGGGCCACCTACGCGTGTGAAGACTGCCTAATAATGTATGCGCGGGTGAAGATCTGTAGAAATCATGCATTCAGACTCTACCGAGCAACCACGCTAACGTTGTCCGATCGCAAAGGTTGGCGAATTGCGCACAAGGCCAAGGACGCGCATACGAAGGACATGTACCTGTGTTCAAAGTCAGTGGGACTAATCAAATCTTCTAAATTGTATAATAAATCCAAAGATGGTCTCATCATTACATCATTCTTCTAGGGTGAGTTTTGTGTTGAGGTCTTTAATCGATGAAACTTTGATAAGGATCCAAGGTTATTTAGCGAGTGAAAAGGCCTCTTGAAAACTGTGTACAAAGTCAAAGGGAAAATATAAATCTTGAAAAATTACATAATAAATCATGTAATGACGTCACAGCTACATCATGCTTCTAGGGCCATCTATACTGTAGGATCTTATATCATATTTTGTTCCCCTCAACAGGCCAAGCAGCCGTCAATGGCTACCGGGTGTTTATACAGCTCATAGCATCCAAAAACCCGGAGTTTGTCACCAACTCTATGGACCATGTAAGTGTTTAGTGTTGCAAACTGGACTTCACAGGTAGATTGTGTGATAAAAATAGGGCTTTGCCGAATAATCTCATATTTGAATATTCGATCAATCAATATATGCAAAGAAGGGAGAATTTCCTTTTTTATGAGAAAATTCTCCCTTTGGAGGCTTGTTTCAAGCAGATTCCAGACACTAGAAGGCAGCTGATATGTATTTCCAAGGACGGATTTGGGCTAGGGCGATCTTAACTAACTGTGGATTTTTGCCCTGCCCGACATGTTGTTATGACACGGTGTACTCAGTGTTTGCCCGCAGAAGCTTGTGGAAAAAAAACCCACAAGCATACACGGATGTGACTCTGGGTACAAGTCCATTTGATTCAGTTAGATTGTATTCACTTTAAAGTCTTCAAAATCCCTCACTTTCAATACCTCATCCATTTCTTTTCTGATTGCCCTATGTTTCCTCTGCTTCTTGTTTTTTTTTTTTTCTTGTCGTCTTTTTTGCCTCCAAGTACCTCACTATGGTTAAACGGAAGCAGAATGACAAGTCTCACTGCCTGTCGGTCTTGTGGTCGTGCGCTCAGGCGGGATACAGTGACCCCGTCATTGGACTCAGAGGTGAGTAGCCTGGGGCAGTGAGATTTGACCGCCGCATGTTGAAACCAGTTCAGCCTTTCCTAGTCCTCACAAAATCCCCTAACCGTCCCAGAAGTTTAACCCTCGGCAAAGAAAAGGGCTGCTGCATATAGCAATTGCAAGGCATTTTGTTACTCAGCGACAGTGTCCCCCAGGGCCGTCACACTGCATGTGGGTGCTTGCTCTCAATCATACCACGCGACGTATTCACAACCGCCCGCACGGCCCCCTTTATCAAGTTAGTTTAAGCATGGCAGTTTGAGAACACAATGAAAACACACCCATAAAGTTTTCTGGAAATACGTAGTTTTATCCTTTCCTGAGAAGTCACTGTATTCCGTACAGTGACTTCTCAGGAAAGGATGCTTCTCAGGAAAGGATGCTAATTATATCAGTGGCTGGTGTGCTTCGATAAGCGAACATAACACTGGGAAGTAACTCCACCCAGTTGATGTCATTATCTTGTGATCTTGGTCAGGTCACATTACTGCAGTTCCATTGGATAAAAAACAATCGACCAGAAAGTGAAAAATAATGTATTTTCATTGTCGGGGTAATTGATCATTATTCCGTTTCACCTTTTATTGCATGTAGTGTGGTGTGGTTTGATGCTGCCATTGCTGGGTGTGAAGCCAGCGTCTACCTATGCCATGGCCAATCTGGACCGAACATTGCGGTACGTTGGCTCACCTGTGTGTGTTAGCACAACATCTCTTGCCAAAAATAAAAGTATTTCAACTCCTTGTCACGTGGTAGAAATGTGAAACAAGATGTTTGGTGAGGTGTGTGGATTACGGTACGACGGCTTTTACAAATTACTTTTAGAATGGACGGCGAGGTCAGTGTAGGATAAATGTCCTGCAAGAATACACAGAAGATTGAGTTCTTGGAACCACCGAAAGGAAACCGCAGATGGGGTTCTTTAATACCCCCCTACCGTTTTGCGGGCCTACAAAGTAGTATGGCACAGTTTGACTAGATTTGTCTGGTCGGCTTTGATCTGTAGGCAGAAGATGGACAAGCAGAAGGCCCACGAGGTTCTGGGCCCCAACCAGTTCTTTCCCATCCTGGACTTTGTCTTCACGCCAGGAACGGCACTCCCAGCGCAGTGAGTACCTGAAGGCGTCTCTTACCCGTGTAGCTTCTAGTAAAATTGAAAAAATGGCTGTTTATGGAACAAGAACTACAGGTCTTAGTTCACATTCTAAGGAACCCGGCATTCGGACATTGGTCAAATTTGTCTTTAATTGAGGGACTTTGTACCAAGAGATGCAACAGTGATACAATTTGTCAATAACAACGTTGTGATGCGGTAGCAGTGTACAAAAATGAATGTTGTGAACCCCTTCACGGCGGGATTATTT